GCTTGAGCCCAGGAGTTGGAGGTTGCTCTGAGCTGTGATGCCATGGCACTCTACCCAGGGTGATAGCTTGAGGCTCTGTCTCAAAACAAACAAACAAACAAAAAGAAATGAGTGTAATAGGGCGGTACCTGTGGCTCAGTGGGTAGGGCGCCAGCCCCATATACTGAGGGTGGCAGGTTCAAACCCAGCCCCACCCAAACTACAATAAAAAATAGCCAGGCATTGTGATGGGCGCCTGTAGTCCCAGCTACTCAGGAAGCTAAGGCAAGAGAATTGCCTAAGTCCAGGAGTTAGAGGTTGCTGTGAGCTGTGATGCCATAGTGCTCTACGGTGGGGGATAAAGTGAGACTCTGTTAGAAAAAAAAAAAAAGGAAATGAGTATAATTGTGATGGATGTGTTACTTAGTTCAATGTAAGCATTTCACATTGTATATCAGAGAAGTACCCTGAACCCCATAAATGCATCAATGTACACAGTTATGATTTAATAATAAAAAAACCAGATCTTCCTTTGTAGTATGTACACTAGCAGATAATATAGGAGAACTCTACCTGTATGTCATTTAAAGTACTAATTTGATGAATTCCAGTTATTTTAGGATTTATTGTAAGAGATAAAGAGATCTTTTCTTTTCATCTCCAATCAGAAACTCAGAATGAGTAGTACAATGTATTGTTCTTAGCCTTTTTTTATATCATCAGTCCCCAGAAGATATCAGTATTCCAATTTTAACCATTCTGAAAGGTGCTATTATAAATGAGTGATTGCAATATAGCTAATCGAAATCAAGGAAGCTTTTTATAAACATAATTTTAAGAAAGAATGGTGGCTGGGTGCAGTGGCTCACACCTAATCCCAGTACTTTGAGAGATGGGAGTATTGCTTGAAACCCAGCTGGGGAACATAACAAGACCTATGTCTCTACCAAAAATAAGAAAAATTAGCTAGGTATGGTGGTGCACACCTGTAGTCCCAACTATGTGGGAGGCTGAGTTAGGAGAATCACTTGAGCCTAGGAGTTTGAGGCTGTAGTAATACTCTAGCCTGGGCCACAGAATAAAACCCCTTCTCTTAAAAAAAAAAAAAAGAAGAAGAAGAAGAAAGGAATGGTGTCAAAGTATTCAAGACCAGATGAGAAAAAAAATAAAGCAAAAAATGTCCTGCCTTTAAAAAATAAAAAGTTTTGGCTCAGCGCCTGTGGCTCAAGCAGCTGGGGCGCCAGCCACATACACCTAGGGTGGCGGGTTCGAATCCAGCCCGG